TATATTACTTGAAGGGGTCACAACACCTGTCACAATTTTTACATAACAGATGAATGAATGGCATAAACAAACATAAAAGACAAGTATACATTAATACAAGAACATTCAAACTTGGCACATACGGGCTATAAGACCACAGAAACCATCTGTGTTTTGACAGCCTAAAATTAAAATGTTCATATTTCAAGATCGGTTTGAATTCCCCCCTTTAAAATGTGTCAAACAGGGGAGATCAGGGTGGTTCTAGTCTGTTGTGTTTGGGTGGGGCGCTAGAAATAAAGGATAGGGAACTGATGAGATGAAAACTGGAAGTTTGAGCAGCTGACTACTAAAATAAAGTAATCTCTCTCTGAGATCACTGTCTCTCTTTCCACACTATCCCAGCATCGCTGTATGATGACTTGTATAGGGTGAAGATCCTCACTTAAAGTCTGCATGTGGCTCAGTCTGTAAATCTTTTGTGCATATCTCAAAATGCTTACAAATACAAAAGGTGCATCTTTGTGGGTGGGGTGCACATGACCTCACAGGTTTCCTTCAGTATCGCCACACTGATGGGTCAGTTCCTGTAAACAAACAAACAAAAACAAAAAAAAAGAACTGTGTAAATGAACAGATTCCTGGTAGAAAGCATTTTTACGTTCTAAAAAACTTCACTTGAAGGTTAAACTTGCTGAATCATGCAGAAACTCTGACACAGCTGTCAAATAATGACCACATCTTAACAATAACAGCCTTTAAATTTCAGCTAAAACATTGGAAACACATTACAGCTCAAATGTCTTATTCTTCTTTTTATTCTTGTCCTACTGTTCAATGAACGTGATGGGCTGCTGAGCATTTTCTTCTTGGAGCTATTGGTGGACGCGTTAATTTATAAACCACACTCCATGTTTTATTCAGTAGGACCTGAAACTAGTGAATGAGCCCATAAAGTCATGAAGAAAGTGTTTGCTGAGGTCACAGAGCAAATTAGCTGAGATCCATGCACACTTTGTGCCCCCCTGCAACCCAGAGTTTGCCTGTGGTTTTGAGTAACAACAGGATTGCTCCACTCTATACTTCATTTATAAAAGCAGCTCATTCTTAACTACAAATAATAATTTTTAAAAAGTGTCAGATTGACAGAAATGTTTGAAAAGTAATGAAGTAATTTTAAACTAAACATTTGATGCTGTTTTAATCCAAGATATCAGCAATCTGGTGCTTTTTCTCTTCTTACATGAAAGACATTTTTTTTGTCTCATTTTGGATTCTTTTAAAATGACTAATGAGCCGCTTTAGTTGTGCAACATCAGAAAACTGACAAAAGTCCCCACAGTGCTGTCGTACAGCTTGAGAGTTACAAATGTTTGTTTTCTAAATCTTTTCTAAAAATCTCTTTTTATTGCCTGACTTGTTTTCTCTTCATTTGGCTTGTTTCTTGTCATTTTCAAGTATTTTTAATCATTTTCTTTTGATTGGTTAATGTATTTTTAATCTTTCTGAGAAGCCCATTGTAACATTAAGATCAGTTGTCTTTCATTGCTTGTAAAAACAAAATAATATTTGTCAGTTGTGGGTTTATTTCAGACACTGAATTCTGTTTAATGATTGCCTTTTTTTCTGCAGATTAATGATCTCAACCAGGTGCCTGTTCCCGTCATGCTGCTGCCCGATGACTTCAAAGCCAACACTAAGATCAAAGTCAACAACCACCTCTTCAACAAGTAAGACTCAGAAATGAGCACATTTAACTAGTCAAGTGAAAATGTAACTTGCTGACCCCTTGAAGCTTTTGAGAAACTACAAAAAACCCATCGGGGTATAAATCAGTGATAAGACTGGATGTTTGTGTTGGACTGTAGAGCTGGACAAATGTTTTGGAGCTGAAATTTAGTGAGAAATAAGTCATGTTTGTCTTGGAATGAGTTAAGTTTCCTAACTGCTTCCTCTCACAGGGAAAACCTCCCAGGACATTTCAAGTTCAAAGAATACTGCCCTCAGGTCTTTCGAAATCTAAGGGAACGGTTTGGTATTGAGGATCTGGACTATCAGGTGTGTAAAGTTGAGTCGTTGGCTGATGATCACTGATGATACTGTTGAATGGTGCATTCAAAACAAACGTGAAGTTTTTGCCTGGCTCGAGTACATAAACAGTCTGTGTAGCGAAGAGAATTGACCTGAATTTGCTTTGGGCTACACAAAGACAGCAAGTATTAGTTGTAAATCTCCTGGCACCACCGACAATCAGGAATGGAGGAAGGCTGTACTGAAGCCATTTGAGAGGCGGAGCTTTCATTGGTGGTACTGCACGTTTGGGGTGAATGCACCATAAGGGATGATCGTAGCTTGTTTTCATAAAAAATGACTGAAATTACTTCTTGTCTTTAGTACTTTACTAAAGATGAGTGCCTGTGCTAACCTGTGTGACGTTTCCAGGTGTCACTGACTCGCAGCCCACCTTTCAGCGTTGATGATCAGGGAGAAGGCCTGCTCCTTAACTCTTACGACCGGACGCTGGTGGTTAAGCAGATCTCCAGCGAGGATGTGGCAGACATGCACAACATCCTGTCAGAGTATCACCAGGTATG